GAATGGCAGAAATACCACTGAGCATGTCAATACCTTCTTAGCAGAACGGAGGTGGCTGCAGGTCAGTTACGTAGGTGCAAACGAACAAACAACTGTGCAAGGGAGCAATTCTTTTAAATCACAGATTGCTAGATAACTATATTAGAGAAATTTTCACACTTCTTTTATAGTCCTATATTCACGTCTGTTAGCAAAATGTGTATATACATATATATACGCCTATGCACACTATACTGCTAACTGAACCTACTCATTAGATCCAAGCAAGAGCTGCTAGCAAAATTTGTTACGTTACATCATACCCAGAGCCAAGTCCGTCAGTATAAAATATGCACAGCTATAACGTATCTTGCTTTTTCGAGAGGCACTCAATACCCAGGAGCCCAGGTTGCCCTTCTCAGGTTATGCAGGGTTTACAATATGATATTAGAGGATAAAATACGAGTGTGCCGTATTATAAACACACTCCTTTAGCCAAAGGCAAAGCAAACCTAGAGATGTGAAGCTGGGTGCTCATACCCAGCTTGAGCTTGATATGCTGCAGTCCAAATCCCTCTAATTTTGCAATTTGGTCTCATTAAGGAAACAAAGCAGAATTACTGAATGCAAAAAGGAGAAATGACGCAGAACGATATTCAAGAGCTCACTGAGGGCTGGGACCAGAGGCACATAAGGAAAGCCAGCCCCGATCACATGCTGAGGCACACGGCAATACTGAATACTCTCTCGCAAAATCAGCTACTGCACTCTGTGGATGTGTCTGAGGCCAGCCTATGTACCAAAGCGCAGCAAAAAGCAGTTAATCTGGCTTAGTTCTCAGCATGAATTCCTCTCTTTGGGAGTTGTTCTTATTTAATCTCAGGAAGAAGACAATCCCAACAAATGAAAGGCTCTGTAGGTTCTAAACCACCAATATCCGGCATTTTAATGAAACTGAAAGCAGAAATTAAGGAACATAGGGAAAAAAAATGGAGAAAAACATAGGATTTAAGAGTGAGAAGCAGAAACAATTCCGTTTAGATTTCAGGGTTTATTCTTTCTGTTTCTCATCTTTTTTGCCTTCTAGCAGAGGCTGGCATTGCTCAAAAGGCAGACACAGGTTATTGGTTTGCCTTGCCAGGGCCTTGCTGCAAACACCGCTGTTGGCTCCCACACGCAGAGCAGGGGGATAACACTACTGCTGTCTCCTCAGTCTTGGCCAGAGGCCCTTATTTATTAATAGTTCAGTTCTTTTGACTAGAAAGTAGGTACAATGGGTTCATCGATGCAATAGCACAAAAATCTATATACTTGAGAATGCTTTTCAGACTGAAGACACGTAGGATGAGGACAGTAACGTGGAAAGCAGCAGTTAAGCAACTGGCTTATGAGAAACTGCATTTGGAAGTCTGAACAGCCTTGTTACCCACAAAAATTACTTTGACCTCTCTGTTCTGCACATCCATCAATCCGGCAGCATGCTGACCATGGTAGCAGTTGCGAGCACCTGGGAGGAGGAGAAAATCATGTGTGAGACTTTTTCTGACCCTCATCTTGGGGTTGAATTTATTACTTGGAGTCAAAACTCTCAGAGTAGCTCAGAGAGTAAAACAGCTCCCTGGGCAGAACAGGATGCTAGGCCTTGATGTTGCACCTTCCCCATGCAATGCAGTGCCTCTCTCCATGCCATAGAGAAAGGCCATACCATACCTCTCAAACTTTGCCTCACTCATGCAGCAAAAAACAGTCCCTAAACTTTTCCTGGTTGTTGTCTCTGTTGCAGCAGTGTGTGCTGAAAGATGCCACCTGGAGACTGAGAAAGGAAGAAGAGCAAAGCCATCTCCATTGCCTCCTGGAAAGCTACTGCTCCTCCAACCTTGAAGACCTTCAACAGGTTCCAGGCTTCACGTGAGATTAAGAGTATGAGGGGATGAGGATGGGGGAAGAGGAAGCAGGCAGCTCTGCACGCAGGACAGCAACAAGAGGACAGAGCTAGGCTCTAGCTAACAGCATAAATAGGCTCTAAAGTATGAAATGTAATTTTAAGGACAGTTGCTCTCTTTGCAGGAGAGAAAACAGTCTTATAGTCTAGGCCACAACCGTAAAACATCCTCTAAAGCAGGTCCCATAGGTAGCTGTCACATTGCAGCAGCATGGCAAAAGGGGAGTGAGGGCAGTCCAGCCACTCGTCTCGCATGCCGACAGCTTCATTTGCAACCCCACATGCCTCTTGCTTGAAAGGTCAGCGTGCATTACCATAGCAAAACTACCTATATCCTCATCTGGAATATTCAGCTTTGCAAGCTGAGAATTTACTACACTTGAAAGAATAGTTGGCTCTTAAAACATAAAAACAAAAGGGAAAGAAATCAAACTGATCAGCACAGTTGCAGGAGAAGTCTAGTGGTCTAGTGATCTTTAAGGAGAATAATCACATAATCTGAAAACTTTCCATATAGCAAAATAGTCACATTGTGTTTGTGGAAAATGAGTGAACTGTTACTCCCCTGTGGATAATTTTCTGCTAGTATGCAGAGATTCTTGTTGCATTATTAGCTGTCTCTTGGGGGTAACATATTTTGGAGGCATCTTTGCCACAACTGGAAAGAATTAACAGCACTAATTTTCCTCACTATTTATACTGCAAGGAAGAATGAAGAAGGGTGAAGGGAAAAAAAAGGGGGGACAGAAGTCTTCCTTTTTACTTTGTGTTTGTGCAAAAAGTTCTTCTGAATATAATTTAAGATCTCAGCAAAAAGGATTTTACTTTCTTGACACACCTTTTAGATGGGTTAGATGAAAACAGCTGTAACGTTCTCATAAAGTAGGAGTGGGGGGAAGCCAAAAATGAGTATTCCCACCTGAAATGAAAGCAGCAGGAGACTTGTGGAAAATGAGTCAACAGCTGGAATGTGCTAACTGGGATGAAATTAGCTATTTTTGGTATTTCTATTAGAAGGGAATATTAAAAACGTCCTTGCTGTGACAAAAATGCCACTTTTGGAACAACAGGCTTATTTCAGATATGTTTGCCTACACTTAAAAGTATAGGCAAAAACTGGGTATCCAGTATATCCACTGCCCTGTCACAATGTTCTTTATAACAGCTCTCGGTATACACATATAGCCAGAGGAATATTCTATGGTGCTTTATTTAAAAACATAAGCCTTAAGTTGAATATCACCACATCCACACGAGACAGAGACTTGTTTCTACCAGTCAAACTAGAAAAGATCAGCAGCTAAACTACTGGACTACATTGCGTTAGCAGTTCCCAGTCCTGATGTGGGGTATGACTTCATACGGATTATCCATTAGACCTGCTTTCCAAAACTAGCAATTGGCTTTTGTACTCCGCAATTGTTCATCAAAAGTCTTTGTTATCGTGCAGTTTCAGGGGATGGAAAATGTAAAAACAGAGAGTATCTGGTCTTTTCCACCATGCAATACTCCAACAGCCGGACAATTCTTTTGAGTGGAAGTGGTTCGTGGCTCCAGTGATAATTAGGTGAAGCCAATTCCAGTTCACTCCCTTCGTACGTGGCAAAAAAATGACATGACAAGTAGGCATGCATAATCACTTTCTGCAAAACCAGACCAAACCAGTGTAGCGCAGCAAACTTGTAACAGGATGGAGAAGGAAATTAACAGTACTGGCAACTATTCTTGGCTGTC